ACTAGATAACATCCTGCTGGATGGCAAAGGAAACATCAAGCTGTGTGACTTTGGCCTGGCCATCAGAGTCACCTCTGGGCAGAGGTCCAGGGGATTCTGTGGCACCCTTGAATATTGTGCTCCAGAACTACTCACTGACACAGAGTATGATGCAAGGACCATGGACATCTGGAGCATTTAGCCAGTCTCAAGGGGTGGGTTTACCCTGGTATGACTGAGACAGCTGAAGTGGGATACTTCTGCAGGGGTCCAGGTAGCAGTGTGTCCACTTCCCCAGCCAAGAAGTCCAGCACAGGAGGAGGTAAGCCATCTACCACAAGCTTTATCACAGGAACACATCGTTAACAAGAGATCTGTCCCAGGGCTGGCCTTCCATAGCATCTTTCTCAGAGTGGAGCCTTGTGCCAAAACCCCACCCCCAAATGGCCCATAAATTAGAGAAGCCCCTAGGGCCAGTCTTCAAGGACATACTACAGCAATACTCATTCATCTCTCTCCCCTTCAAGGTCAGGTCCAAGGGAGATGTTTCCTCACACTGGGGCAGAGGTGAATCTCCTCCTCCCCCTCCTCCCCTCCCTGCTGTTGGGTTTGCAGCCTGCCTATGTCCCTTTGTCCCTCTCATCACAGGAGACACAGTCCCACTGCATGCTGGTTCAGTCTCACTGCTGGTAAAGGGGCCCTTACTGTGGGGTGTTTATCAGATCCATATTTGTCTCCTAACAGGAAAGTGACAGCAGGCTGGAAGGAAATGGGTATCAGTGTGGACGGAATGCTGGGATGTTGCTCCACTTTGGAAGGCGGGTTTTGCTGGCCTGTCCTGGGGCACAGTGGACACATGACTTAGGCAGCAGTCTTGGAACTACATTTTATCTAGATCCCACATCAGAGATCAGCCCTAGACAGAGCAATAATGACCATAGAGTTAGGGCATTCAGCCAGGCTGTCTGCTTGAATGTCCTCCTGTGAAAGTTGTCTTTGGTGGTGTTTTGGACAACCTTCAGGCACGTCACTACTCTCTTCAATGAAAAGCAGACACTCAGAAGGGACTGATTGCCAGGTCTCATTGTAAGCCTCACATGGCTGAAGGTATCACTGAGACCACTAAGTTTAATCCAGTTGTATGAGAGAGGTTTCTGTGATCTGGTTTAGCCTTGACACTTGTATACAGACAAATAAGCATGATCTGCCACAGCCAGCCTTTTCAATTCCAAGGAAAGTGGTCGGTGAGTTCATGATGCATAGAAACAAAGATAAAGTCAGAAATCAGAGACATGGATTCAGAAGGATCTTGGGATAACTTGGGGCAAGTATCACAACTCTCCAGTCTGACTCTCTGTCCCCAAACCCTTACAGAGGAATAGTTTGTGGAGAAGAGGGTGAACATTTTCTTACACTTGTATGGGAAGACAGGCTGTCTGCCACTGGCCAGCTACTTAGTCTGTAATGGACTAAAGAACGTGAGCAGGATGATGTACACAGCCTTGCAAGGAAAACCAGCTCAGAGGCTGAGCTTCTTGCTTATGTGGCCATAGCTGCTCCACATCGCTGGGATGTTTCAGTCCTTATGCACTTTCCTGAAGCTAAGGCCTGGGAAAGGAGACTTGGGTACTCTAGGCAGGTCATTGAATCCCAGGACAGACAGTTCAGGAGAATCACTAGCTCCAGACCCAGGTGATAGTCCCTTAAGGTAAATCTCAGTATAAATAGATGGGAGGTGTATATCTCTTTATCCTGACATTTGCCTTGGGTCCTGTTGGGACTTTGGGTGTCCCTGACACTAGAGTCTTGTTGCTGCCTTTAGCCTGCTACAGCTGAAGGCCAGGCACCCACACCCAGCACCTCCCCCCTTCACTGTCTGTCTGCTGGATGGAGCAAGATCAGGTGCCAGCAGTACCAGTTCCTTGTAGCAGGACATCCACACACATCATCCCAAATCTGTCCACAGGTCTCCCCATCACAGAGGACAAAGGTGAGTCCTTTAGATGCTCTTCTGGAGATAGCATGTTTCATGGGACACTGTTTAAATTCCACCAAGTGACCCAGTGACCAAGCCATGATGACCAATTTGGTACAGCCGAATCACTTGGAGTCTCACAGGTCAACTCCAGAACTCTAATTTGCCATCTTTTCTCTTCTAACATCTGCAGGTTCTTTGGACATGTTCTATCACGGAAGCCTATTTTCACCAAGTATGTATCCTGTCTGGTGTAGACAAGTGTAACTGAGATGGGGTGCAGGAAGCAGAGTGCCTGTGTTTAGACATGATGCTGGAGAACTGCTTTTCCTTCTTTGTTCCCAGACCTTCCTTCCTGCAAAGTAGCAGGGCAGCCATGAGACGTCATTCTCTGCAGACAGAGGTCCCTAAGGACACACATTGGAAGACAATGGGCATTATTGCACCTGCCTCATTAGTCCCTAAATTCCACTAAAAGTAAACCTGCCATTATCTGCCAAGTTAACAGGTCTTGTGCTTGGGCAATGGTGAACTCTCAGCCATCTTCTTCAATCTATAATATTTCTTCTCTTGTAGGTTCCTGGCCACATTCTGAAACTTGTACCCAGGGAATTCTTGACATGAATGAGGACACGCACACTCAGCACTAGTGCCAGTGATGGAGGAGAACATTCCAGCCTCCCATTTGACTAGAGAACTAGCAGATCAATTCCTGAGCTCTAAAGGAGCTCAGAGGCTCCACAAAGCTTCAGGAGGGCATGCTGTGGGGGGGCAGTGAAATGGTTTCTGTTCCAGCATCTAAGCACAGACCACCACCCCCAATTCTAAGCAAGATCTAGAGACAACAGAAAGATACTCCAGAAAATCTCCAGTGTGGATGGGTTCTTGTTGAATCCCCACCCCAAATTGATGCTGTGTGTATTTTGACAGTTCAGAAAGATCACCTATGCCTCTCTGTCCTCACAGATGACCTAGGAAACTTGCCTGCATGGATAAAAAGGAGTGCCCAGGAGAGCCTTGGGAAGCAAATGTGCAAATGTCTCTGCATGGCCTCTAGACTGGATTACCTGAAAAGGGAAGTGTCCAGGGACCCTATTTCCAAGGCCACTAACAACATGAAGGTGGTACACTTGAGGTCATCCACTTGTACTGTATTTCACTGGTATGGGATAGAGACAATGTACAAACCATCGAATACTAAAATGCTGAAGTAGAGTTCCACCAGAATTTATCCTAACTGACATTCAGAACACTTTGGGATGGCTGAGAAAAATCCAAAGGAATATAAACTCTAAGACACCCCTGTTCCTCAGCAGCAGTCACTATTGTTAGGGTCACAGATCTTTTCATATATAGACTCAGCAAAATGCCAATCTGATGCTCAAACACAAAATGTAACACCCAGTGGGGTCTAATCCTAGAAGAGACAGCAGAGGGCAGAAGAGATTCCTCCAGACCCTGCACCTCTGCTCCCAGCACTTCCCACAAAGCCTCAGAGATCCGGAAAGTGCAGCAGGGAAGGAACAGAAACTGGACGCATGGATTCCAACACAACCCCAGCAACAGACCCACCTACACTGTCAGTGACACCTGGGGAAACCAAGGCAGTGGAAATGGTCTGTCTTTAAAGGGCTGCAGGACAACTATGTAAAAGCAAACCCTAGTGAACCCATTAGAAACCTGAACACAGTCTCAAATATTATACCCGACCCCAGATCCAAACACTGCAATGTTCATGTAGCAGTTACAGAAGAGACCTACGTAAGTTTCTGCCTCATGAGGAGGATCAGAAACAACACAGAGATGACCTGTTCAGACGTGAGCTCTGAAGCCACCAACCAAGAAATAAACTGGAGAATGGGTTGAGGTGAGAACTCCTTAGGACATCTAGTGAAAGCCTGGCCTCTGACAACCCCCAGGAGAGAACAAATCCCTGTTCTAGGCCAGGACGCCGGTTCACTGCTTAGCAGTATCATCAGGGAATGTCCAGGCAGACAGGCAGGTGTGCTCTGCTCACCACGCTTTTACACCCATGCAACCCACAAGATCACTGCGTGAAGATGTGGGATAGAAGCAGAATGAGCACTATCCAAAGTTGGGGGTCACTTCCAGCACTGCCAGCTTTGCTCTTGACTCCCAAACACCGCAGCCCAGTAGAAGAACGAGCTTCAAGACAGGAAATAGATAGGACTGGCAGGAACTGGTGAGTCCCATGCTGCTTTTCCCGGAGCCCAGAAAGCCTAGAGCTGCACGCTCCCCATCCCTGCTCCCCAGGCATGGCTCCATGTAACCCATTCAGAACACACCAGCCTTCTGCTGCCCCTCAGTGATGGCAAGACACCAGGCTGTACTGTCCTGGACACATCATACCCCAAAAGTACTAGGTGTCAGGCCCTGATGGACACCTACAGCCCAGAAACCACATATACATTTAGATATTGGAACTTACCTGATATATGTATCACTTCGATACACAGTCCTCTAGGTGCAAGGACCTTATTGCAATTCCTGTGCAGACGCAGGCATGCATACAATACTAGACATCAACCATTACCTAGCATCCCACCATTCTGCTGCCCACATATACTACTAGTCAGTGGCAGGGGAGTTAGCATGGCTGAAGTTTAGCTGTGCTCTGAGGCAGTAACACAGGTGTAGGAAAGGAACTTACTGAACAGTGCTTGCTGTCAGGCACAATATGAGGTAGAGTACTGTCGAGTTCAGAAGTATATGATACACAGTAGTACACAAGGGCTCAGGAATCAAGGAAGGTCTGATACCAAGGAGTATGTTTCAGGCTATCATGGTGGGGGAAGTGTCCAGGGGGCTGGATAGCAAGCAGAGCACTAATAAGTTTGGCAGCAGGATTGGGGTGTATCTAGTAAGGCCTGAAGAGGGGACAGCCCCTGATACTGATATGACTCTATGCAGGAGCATCAGGGAGATGCTTTGTAGTGTCTTATGAACACAGCATTGTATGTTGGGTAGCCATTGATGTCCAATAGGACCTGACACATAGCACTCTATGTAGAATGTCAGGACAGTGTCCAGCAGTGCCTGAACAACAGCAGTATAGATGGAGCAGAGGTAATGATACTGATGCTGTAAGAAATAGTGTGTGCCTGTGTCTCGCTGCCTCTGTGTATCTGTGTGTGTTTGTGGTGATGGTTGAGAGTACACACTGCCTTCACCCGCAGTGAATGTGAAGCTAAGTTCTAGTGTCTGTTTCATTGCACTGTGTTTTACATGACAACAGTGAATATAGGGTTCACTAGCTCTCCTCTTCAAGGGGAAAGAGGAGCTAATAGGACCAGCAGGGATTACATTTAACCAAGGATTCTCATCTTGTATCTGGCTGTCCCCAAACTCAATTGGTATTTCAGAATATTGATTGTTGCTGTTTGTTTATTATTTGGTACCTGGATGGTGAATAAGGTATCACCTCCAGGCCGGAGTATCTATGGACCATGGTGTAGCTTCTGCATCTCTTGCCTCTTTCCTTTACATCCTCTTCCTGAAATTGACTCTTTACAGCTTCTATACTGATCAGAAACACTGTTTCACTGCCTCTTTTCTTCCAGGGGAGTGGGAGGCTGAGAGGACCTGCACAGAGCATGTTTAAACAGGGAGTCTCATTGTGCTGATGACTGTCCCCAATGCTCAGTTGATATTTCAGAATATTGATTGTGGCTCTTAGTATTTGATGCCTGGGTGCTGAACAGGGTATCACATTCATGCAGGTGTATCTATGGAGCATGGTGAAACTTCTTCAACATCCTGTCTCATTCTTCCAAACCCTCTTCCTGAAAGGGACTATTCCCAGCTTCTATGCTGATTGAGAAATCTGATTCACTACCCTTCTTGTTTAGGGGACAGGGAGTCTAAGAAGTCCTGTATGGATCATATTTAACCAGGGCATATATTCTTGCTGACGGCTGTCCCCGATGCTCAATTGGTATTTCAGAATGTTGACTGTGGCTGTTAGTTTGTTATTTGGTGTCTGAGAGCTGAACACATCATCGCATCCATGCAGGTGTATCTGTGGAGCATGGTGAAACTTCTTTGACATCCTGTGCCCTTTTCTTTCATACCCTCTTCCTAAAAGGGACTCTTACCAGCTTCTATACTGATTGACAAAGCTGGTTCATTAGCTCGCTTCTTTATGGGACAGGGTGGCTAAGATGATCTGCTTTGATCATAATAAACCAGGAAATCTAATCTTGCTGATGGCTCTCCCCAATGTACGATAGATTTTTCAGAATATTGATTGTTGCTGTTTATTATTTGGTGCCTGGGTGCTGAAGAGAACATCACCTCTAGACTATTTCAAGGATGGTGTAGCTTCTGTATCCTTTGCCTTTTTGTTACACACCCTCTTCCTGAAACTGACACTTTCCAGCTTCTATAATGGGATTAGACATGCTGGTTCACTAGTTCTCTTCTTCAAGGGGAAAGGGAGCCTAAGAAGACATGCAGGGATCATATTTAACCAGGGCTTATCTTGCTGATGCCTATCCACAGGCTCAATTGATATTTCACAATATTGAATGTTGCTG